GGGGGGGGCTCTTGTGGCCTAGAGGTAAAGGTGTTCGCTTCTCATTTAATAGTTCCGGGTCATTTCGTCTCCACTTTCTGCGACCACCCCCTCATCTCCTTTCCTTCATCCTCTGGGCTCTTGACTCTTTCTGCTACTTCTATTGTTATTCCTTGGCTCCGTCTTACTGCTGTCTTTCAATCACACCCCAGATCTTCAGGTAAGAAAGATCTACACCTAGCCTTCTCGGACAAGGGCGAAAAATCTCGGAGGGCCCGTGTGCAAGTTGCGCATGTTAAAGATCCCTTGGTTGTTTAAAATCGATAAGAGTAGGCTTCGGTCGCCACCTGTGCAAAAAACATTATCAACAGCAACAACAACAACAACAACAACAACAACAACAACAACAACAACAACAACAACAACAACCAACATCACAAAACAAATCACAACTAACAACACACCTGTCGGGGTGGTGGTACGCGGGATCTGTGTGGTGGTGGTTGCGCCAAACCCGTGGTTCTGGAGACACTTGTCGGAGGCACAGCACGACTGAACGCACGAGATACGGTGCTGGTGGGCTCCGCACGGTGCGGACATCATGTCGTTGATGCATTTGGTGTGAAGCAGGTTGGATTTACAGACACCTGGTGTTTTTGGTTATGGTTGTTTTTGTTTGTTTGGGGTTGTTTGTTTTTTTGGAAGAGAAAGAAAAAGGAGGGGGGGGGGGGTTGTTTTGAAATGTACCGGACGTCTAGAAATAAAGAAAGACTCACTATAAGGGCAATAGCTCGGCAATCTTTCGACTAATTTCAACATAATTTAGAAGAAAAAAAAGTCCAACAAGGAGAACGTCTTATTTATCAGTATGAAGTAAATCAACGAATGTGTTGAAAAACATAACTTTAATAAAATGTCAACGGAAATTGAGGTCAACACAAACATTTGCAACTTCTTAAAAACCAACCATGTTGCTCTATTTCAAACAGTATCTTTCTGTGCGTTTGAGAACATAATTTATTCTAAATTAATACTGCCAAATAAAGCCCATTCATTCATTCCTTCATTCGTTCATTCATTCTTTCATTCATTCATTCATTCATTCATCCAATCATCCATTCATTCATTCCTTCATTCATTCATTCATTCATTCATTCATTCATTCATTCATTCACCCTCTCATTCATTTATTCATTCATTCATTTATTCACTTATGCCTCAACTCCCAGACAATAAACAACCCACCGAAGACGTCTCCATAAACGTCTTTGGTCACGTGACAGTACTGCTGCCTGGAACACTTGTGTCCGTTGAGCAGACAGGCGTTGAGGTCAGACGTCTTACATCGGCCTGGACAGAAGGGCGGGTCGACGTTTGGCTTCAGAAGGGACAGAACGTCCACGTGCCCACTGGACACTACAGACACGCTGGCTG